TCTCACCAGAGCGGAGCAGAGGGGCAGAATCCCCTCCATCGACTTGCTGGTCACACTGCTTGGGATGCAGCCCAAGATATGGGTGGCCTTCTGGGCTGCAATCACACATTACTGGGTCATGGCCAGCTTTTCATCCACCAGTACCCCCAAGTCTTCCTCCTCAGGGCTGCAGTTAAATCTCTTCATCCCCCAGCCTGTATTGATACTGGGGGTTGCCTTGACCCAAGTGCAGGATCTTACACTTGGCCTTGTTGAACCTCATGAAGTTCACATGGGCACATGTCTCAGGCTTGTCCAGGTCCCTCTGGATGGCATCGCATCCCTCAGGTGGGTCAACTGTACCACTCAGCTTGGCATCATCTGCAAACTTGCTGAGGATGTGCTTGATCCCACTGGATATGTGATTGAAGAAGATACTAAACAGCACTAGTCCCAGTACTGACCCCTGAGGGACACCACTGGTCAGTGATCTCCATCTGGACACTGAGCCATTGACCACTACCCTCTGGATGCGACCATCCAACCACCTGGTTATCCAGCAAACAGTCCACCCATCAAATCAATATCTCTCCAATTAGAGAGAAGGGTGTTGTGGGGGACCGTGTCAGAGGCCTTACAGAAGTCCGGATAGACAACATCTGTAGCTCTTCCGCTGTCCACTGATGCAGTCACTCCATCATAGAAGGCCACTAGGTTGGTCAGGCAGGACTTGCCTTTGGTGAAGCCATGCTGGCTGACTCAAATCACCTCCCTGTCATCCATGGGCCTTAGCATAGCTTCTAGGAGGATCTGCGCCATGATATTCCCAGGCACAGAGGTGAGGCTGACAGGTCAGTACTTCCCCGGGTCCTCTTTTCTACCCTTTTTAACAGTGAGTGCAATGTTTTCCATTTTCCAGTCACCAGACACTTCACCTGACTGCTGTGACTTTTCAAATATCATGGAGAGTGGCTTGGCAGCTACATAAGCTGATTCCCTCCGGACTGTGGGATGCATCTCATCAAGTCCCATAGACTTGTCTGTGTTCAGGTTCCTCAGGTGGTCACAAACCTGATCTTCTCTTACAGTGGAGGAGGCTTTGATCCCCGAGTCCCTGCCTTGCGGTCCATCCACTTGAGAGGTGTGGGAAGAGAAGTCCCAGTGAAGACTGGGACAAAAAAGCTGTTGATTACCTCAGCCTTCTCCTCATCCGTTGTTACCAGCTTGCCAGTCTTGCACATCGCGGGGGGTGCACTTTCTTTGACTATCCTCTTCTGGCTGACCCACCTGTAGAAGCCCTTCTTATTCTTTACGTCCCTTGCCAAGTTCAGCTCCATCCATGCCTTGGCCTTGCTGACCCCATCCCTACACAACCAGGCAGTGCCCCTGTACTCCTTCTGGGATACCAGTCCCTGCTTCCAGTGCCTGTGCATTTCCTTCTTGCCTTTTAGTCTGACCTGCAAGACTCGACTCAGCCATGCTGGTCTCTTGCCTTCCTTGCCTGATTTCTTACACCTGAGGATTGAAAGCTCTTACACTCTGTGGAAAGCGTCCTTAAAGATCTGCCAGCTCTGTCGTGCTGCCTTGTCCCTGAGGGCAGTTTCCCAGGGGGTCCTATTGACTTAATTCCTTGAACAGCTGGAAGTTTGCTTTCCTAAAATTCAGGGCGCTGACTTTACTCTTTGCCTGACCCATATCCCTCAGGACTGTGATCTAACTCCACCAGTGCGAGAGAAATGTATAGAGAAATAGAAGCACAGAAGTTAGTATAGTAGCACAAGAAGGTCTGTGTTCTATAAAGTGTATTTCAGAGAAGATGATGTGAGAAAATATTAGGTAATCGAAAGCTAAACTGGAACCCATTCTGGCAGGAGCTGGGAGAGGCAGAGATGCAGTAGGATGGTTTGTTTATTAAAGCAGAGACGCACTTTTTTGGAAACTGGAATGATGTGTTGGCATTTAATTTTCTCAGCCAACAGGCTCATTATGATAACGTGGACCATGATATTGTACAAGGACAAGAAGAGCAAGGTATTCAGGAAGAGGAAGGAGGTAAGATAAAATTTATGTCCCTACCATGTTCACAGACTCCCTGTGTACTGCCTGTCATGTCAGATTTTAATATTCATTTCATATCCAGTTTGGATTCAAGTGAAATATAAGCTCGCAATTTCAAACCAGAAGCTCAGATAACACTGGCTGAACTGACTGAGTGAAACACAGGAATTACTAAAGATCATATCCACATTCCTGAAAGGAACAGTGTCCTTTTGATTGAGCTACTAGGATGGGGCTTTGTGGATCTTAGTTACATTCCTGGCTCTGCCTAGGATTTTGTTTGATCTCTTCAAATTATATAATCGTTCAGTGTCTGTTTCCTACTAGCAGTAAAACAATCCTGTTAACATTATATGTTTAGGTAGGCTCTTTAGGTAAAGGCTGCCTACTGCTAAAGCACGTATGGAAACTAGTATATAGAAGACTCTTAAAAAGGCTAAGTAGAAACTGCTGTAATACGCTAATAATATAAAAAATTTGTCAGCTTACGAACATGACAACCACCACCAGGATGAAGGTGAAGATGATGATCAAAATAATGCAAATGAACAGCAAGAACCAGAACATCAAGTAGAAAATCAGCAGGCTGATGAATCGGTGAGTATGAATTAAGATGTTATGGATTGCAAGCGTTACTGAAGTGAAAACCCACAAGTCTCATCCAACATAATTGCGCATTACAGAAATAAGATGAACCAGAGGTCTGCTAGGAAGACAAGTTTGACAGTTTATATCTGAGATCTATTTAAAGTTGTCCTTACTGACTTGAGAAGAAATCAAAAAAAGCTTCTTTCTTGGAAGCACGTTGCTTTTCTGCTTTCCTTTGACCAGGGCCGTACATAGAATAAAGGATTTGGACTTAGCTGGGACTTGACCAGGTAAACTTGGATTCAAAAAAATAAAAGGAGTAACTCATTGGTGGTCAGTCAGAAAGAGCAGTGACAGTATTTTTCATGCTATCATTATTAAGAGGGTAAGAGCCAACTCAGTAGCCACTGAAACCAGCTGGAGTCAGTACAGAAGTGTGAGATCTTGAAAGAGGACATACCACAGCACTGAACACACCTGCAATATCAATCTCACAGAGATCGGGATGCAGGAGTCTGTCCTGTGCCTTCCTCCAGGTTCCATCTTGCTTGGTGGTGTGGAACATCAAGCGTATCGTCTTTGCTCCCCTCCCCCTCAGCAAGTTAAGTTGTGTAGTAAATATTTCTAAAGCATATTTAACTTGTCGGCTACAAAGATATCGGAAATGCTTTTACTGAATGATAAGCAGAAAGAAAATGCTCATTTTCTGAATGGTAAAGTATGATGAAAAGCGAGTGTTGTTTTCTTTGGTTTTATTATAGATGTAGACAAGGTCAATATTGCAGGACAGACCGGTACTGAAAGATCACATCAGCTCTTTTTGAGCCATGAGCGTTTAAACTCTTATCTTTTTTCACCTGGTCTTATCAGGCATTGTCAGTTGTCAGATAGTCAGTAAACAAAAGGAGTTCAACAGCCTGTGTGAAATAAGTCATCGGATTCAATCTGGTCTTTACCAGACGGATCCCCATACTGCAGTGCTGTCTGTGTTCAGTGCTGAAGTACTTTTCCTCTCGGGAGCTGACCCTTCTGTATTGGCTGGGGTTTGATCCAGTCACCCCTGATGCCTGTAGAGAGATTGCAGCTGGTTTCAGTGGGTACGGAGCTGGCTTTAAGATAGTCCCGCTAGGGTAGCTTTCAAGTGAAATCAGATTTGGCTGTGAAAGAAAAGTACGTATTTAACAATCACTTCTGAAAATTACAGAAGGCGGCCATGGAAGATATGAATCCTGCTGATGACCCCAACAATCAGGGAGAAGATGAGTTTGAGGAAGCTGAGCAGGAGAGAGAAGAGAATCTACCAGATGAAAATGAAAAGCACAAGCAAACCAGTCAGAAGGAAGGCCATCCAGGAATGGAAGAGCACCTAGTGGTCAGTAAAGGGAAAGGGGCCATCTGTAGGTCCTCTTTAAGGACAGTGTAGCACAGCTTGGTGAGAGAACACTGAACTTTGATTTTTAAAGATCTCTTTTAAGCCATATATGACGTGCGCAGGTGAAAGTGTGGAATTGCCACTGGTGGTAGCCTGGGGTGTCTTTCATCGCTGGCTCCACTCGGCGAGGTTCTGTAGTCTCGCAGCGCAGGGCCCCTGTATTTACCTTCACACACGGCCCTGCAAGACCACCCGTTCACACGATCTTCATGTCTTTGCACAAATCCCTTCTATGCTGCTTCCAGGCCATCAACACTCAGTCAACTCTAAGCAGTGGTGTCACTTTCTTTCGATGGCCAATTCCAGTGATTGTTGCGCATTTCAACCGTGTTTAAACTATAAACTCCTCTAGGCAGAGATAATCTGTAGTTTTCAGGCACCAGTCTTTAATGATGTGAATATTTCATTGTCTTCCTGCTTAGTGTGGAAAGTCTTGCTTTATTCTGTGAAGTGATTTTTATTATAATCATTCTGCTGTCTATTTTTTAATTTAAGGCAGTTCTAAATCATGTAACTGGGCTATCATTAATGCTAATGAACGCACTATAACTTCTTATGCTAGTATTGTTACTTTAGCTTTACATGAAGTTGTAGTTCCAGAACAAAAAGCTTTAACCTTCAGTCTTCTAAAGTTACTCTGCATGCACATAGAACTGAATTTTTATATTCTCTTTTTCTGCAGGTGGCAGGAAATCCTGACCAGCAGGAAGATAACGTGGATGAACAATACCAGGAGGAGGGAGAAGAGGAGGTAAGAAAACAGACACAAGGCATATGCAGACTCAGGTAGCATGGCTCATCCCTGTTAACGTTCAACGTTGGGATCTCTTATAACTGCAAGATAAACCTAAATCACTTTATCTGACTTTATGAAACCTAAGAAGTCTTTGCCATTACTCTGCTGTGCACTTCTGGGCACATTTAGTGTTACTCATGCTTATGTGCTGCAATCCATTAGTCTTCTGTGCAACACGGTATTAATTGTGCAATAATTGAAAAGATTAAGCCATTTGCAACGCAAGGAAAAAACTCCTGAAAACCTGAAACCCTCTGAAGGTCACTGAAAACCTCATTAACTTTGCATCTCTAATCCCACACTGCTGTTCTGGGCACACTGCTTCCTTGGCCAGTAACTTACTCTTTAGCTCTGACTTTGATGTATCTGTGCTCCTCCTAAGCAATCCAAGTTCTGTGAGCCCCTACTACTGGTGGAGTCAGTCAGGAAGCTGTTAGCGCATTGCTTGGAACCGGAGGAGAAAAGGAAGGGAAGGGACTTTTTCCTTCGTGAATGGCATGCTTGTTATGCATGTGCTAGCGTAGGCTGCCCTGCAGTTCAATACGTACATAATCAGTTGCTACTTTCTGCTTCGTACGTAATGTCTTACAAAAAGCATTAGAAACGGCTACTCATTACTCCCTTATGGGCAACACTTTGTCTAGATTAGCTGGTACGCACTTAGAATTCACCAGTTCGAAATACCGTTACTTAAATCAAGCCAGGTCATTAGGAACTGGGAACGGTTGGCCTTTGGCAATGACTCTTTGGCTTACAGGAAGTAATTTAATACATATTTCGTAAAGGACTATGACCGGTGTGCTTACTGGAAGTATTAAAGAGTGAGCAGTGATTGAATGAGCAATCAAGAAAGAGTTACGATGCTGTAATTGGGAATAGTTTCTTCAGTAGGTTGACTTAAATATTCTACGTTGCTGTTGGTCAACTCTTTCACCTCAAAGCGATCCAGGTTTGATGGCTGCCCTGCTGCTGACAGTGATATCTAACCCCAAAACACTTGTTCGGAAGCAGCTTTGCCTCCGGTTGGAAGCAACTGGTAAAGAGACTCCCCTGCTACTGGTGGTGGCGAGAAGGCTGTTGCTGCCGTTGTTCAGGAGAATATGATAGCAGGTGCTAGAGGGAGGGAGCTCTGTCGAAAGCAGCGGTCGCATCCTTGATTTTTGTGGCAGGGGTAGGTGTCAGCGCTGAGTGGCGAATGCTTCCCAGCCAGGTGAAACACCTTTCCCCCCCGCCCCCACGGGGAATACTGTACAGCCTTAGAGAAGCATCTTACCCAGCTTGCAGGACACCATTTGGAGCAGATACACATAACAGCATTCTCCAAAAGAAAGTCCAATTTACTTCGAAAAGCATGCCTCTTTCAAATTTGCACCTAACCATGAAGGGACATGGAAGCGAGGAGGAGTGCTGACATAAAGAAGTGATAGATCAAGATCTGAACATCTGGAAAACAGATTCAGTGTGGCCTGCTCTCTCTGAGGATAAAATTGGAAGAGATTATTCTTTGCTCCCGGTCCCCTCCTTGATCTTTTGTGGTTTTCCGGGAGCAGTTGGAGAGGATCACACAACTGCTGGGAAAACACGGACAAAGTTACCATTGAGTACCCACATTGCATATCAGAACTGAAGTAGTTCTAGGAGCCCACAGTGGGATGGAAGTGTTGGTAATGACTCTTTGCTGTGTCATGAGACTCTTCCTATGAAGGAGAAGAACAAAATAATATATATGTGAAGTTAAAACACGGAATGGAAATCTACATGTATTAGCTGATGATGAGAGGGTCTGTGAAAATTGTAGTTAAAAGTTAAATATGCTCTCAGGGGTCGTGAGTTTCCTGATCGTTGGGTGGTGGGGTGGGTTGGGTTTGTTGTTTTTTTTTCCTCCTTGAACCTTTCTGTGCCCTCTCCTGCCTTTCTTTTGAATCTTTGATCTGTAAAAGTGTTGCTGTGAAAGTGTGTACGTTTATGCCGCAGGCTACTATTTTAAAGGAAATTAAACCACACAGAACATCTCTGTGCTTTGTAGATCCAGGAAGATTTGACTGAAGAGAAGAAACGAGGACTGGAACGCAATGCTGAAGAGCCATATGGTGAAAATGAAGAAAATGTAAGTACGGTGTAAACCCAAACTGGGTGACGTGATTAAACACTGAACTGTGAACGTGTCACAGTGACATTACATAATCGTCGTTGTAGCTTCCTTTAGATCATAGACCTTAAAATTCCATGCTGTCCCAACTTTCTTTTGCTTATTCTTCCACCCTCACGTCAATTCTTCCTGCCTGGAGGCCTTTGAAAATCCTTTCTTGTTTCTGTCCATCAGCTCTGACCACTCCAGCTGACGGCCATTCTTCCTGCTCCTTAACTTCATCTCGGTGCCCTAAAATAAATGGTAAGGAAGCTAGCACTTGCACTGAATCTATTTGGTTTTGTTCTGTTTTGTTTTTTTTTCCCCCAATCAGGCAGATGAAAAGAATAACAGAGGGGCAGATCAAGAGCAAGAAATGCAAGACGAGAACAACCAGAAAGATGTTCATGAAGAAAATTATGAGGAGGAAGAGGAGGAGGAAGGCAGAGCTGTTGCAGCAAAAACTCGTAGACGAGGGGAGATGTAGTCCTCTTCTGTTAGGTTTTGGGTTTTTTTTTTTTCCTTCTTTGCAGCACACAAATTCGTGTTTTGGTTTGGTGGGGTTGTTGTTTTGTTTTGTTGTTGGTTTTTAAAAAAAATCCAACAACTTTTTTAGGATATTTAATTTCCAAAAGAAGTTTGTTTTACACTTTTTCTATTAGATGCTCTCATACGTTTATATGAATGCAGTATTTTGATACTCTAGATTAGGATTTCTTTTCTATTAAAGCTGTACATAAACAGACATCATACAGGTTCAATTTTTTATAATTCCAGGCATGTTTTATAAAGGCCATTCTGGAATACACTTTCGCCTTGTCCACATCTGACAGCGACGTTTGGTCTAATTTCAGATACGTTTGCAACTTGAGGGAATATATCTAGTGCCTAAACCCCATCGCCGCGAGTCACTCCAGCTCTCGTTGTCTCCCTTGACACGAATGTTACTTCCGGCTGGCCGCACCACCCGCCCAAGGCAGGATCGGCGGTGCTCCTGCAGGCCCGGGGGTAGTTTCATTCCTTATCATCTCATGAGGTTCTTCAAATCATTGAAGATAAGCACATGCCTAGCTCTTTGCAGGACCAGGCCTTTTATAGGTGCCGAACAGTTATAAAATATGCAAGTTTTACAAGCCTTCAAGATACAGCCGGGTTAACAGCTGTTAATTTTGGCAGCTGTTTATATACAGTTAAATTATGCATTTATTTTAATGAGCATACCTAGGTACTTCAATTACATGCACTACATAGCAGATAATGCCAACGGTGGTATGCTGAGATGAGATGCCAGCTAGAAACCAATTTAGACTTGAAGATCCGTTATGCCAAATCAAAACACTACAGCTGTCATACGAATGAAGATTTACAGAAGGACCAATTGTGTTCTCCTGGTTAATACCTAAAATACTTGACCGGAGAAGTAGAATTACATCGCCTCAGTGACATGCTTGCTGGAGACTGTAGAGAGGGTTAATGCATCTTAACTGCGTTGGCATGATTGGTGCGAGATGTTGAACCAAGGCCTTTACCTTTTGTTTAGTTTTAAGTCTACGCTGGAAGGATTTCAATGTCCCCTGGTGTGAAAATCAGACTAGAGACAAATCCCACAGCAGCTTTTTTGAACAGCAAACATCTCTAGCACTGCATGTCAAAATGTAAGGGGGGGGCGGAGGGGGGAACGACACAAAAATTGTGCCTTGATAGGCTACTATGAACGTAATCACAGTGCATGAATATATACAATATTTGTATTGGTACAGCCCCTAGTTATTTAATATATGTTCAAAGGAGAATGGGAATCTGGATTTCCTAGGCTCTGCCCCATTGCTGGAAATGAGGCGCCCAGTAGCTCCCCAAAGTGTGTGTTAATATATAAAAGGAGAGGGTGTAGGATTTTTCCCTTTTTTAATAATGATGCATAGCAATGTTTTCAGTTTAACTTTTTATATGAATGTAATTTAATTCATTTTTCTACTAACTCAATTATATTATGTTTTATAGTTGGTTTCGATTCTTTGCAATTTTCCTAAATGTCTCGACACAGTGCTTATGTTTCATAGGAAGATTTTTGTCAGCAAGTATTTTGGGTTTTCTAGTTACCATAAATCAGATTTACCTTATGTATAAAAAAAAAGTTTACGTGATACTGTAAAATGTATAATATGTACATAATCTTCAGAATACAATTATTTTGGTAAATTGGCCTGTATTTTTAATGTCACGGTTGCAGTATTTAATTATTTGAGGCATAATAAAACTTGACTGCAGTCAATAAACTTAGAATGTAGTTACTGATCTGTCAGAAGCGTGATGCTTTGTTTTAGGAAAACTAAAGAGGCGTTCACACTCTGTCTTAGCAGAGCACAGGAGAGACTGGCAGGGCAAGGGAGGAAGCTGGGGGCCAGGATGGCATTTGCAGGGAAGCGGTGTAGAGTCAGGACCAACATCACCCATATGGGCAGTTTTAGCCCTCTGTAGATGTGCTTTTCCAATCCTCATTGTGACCCAGGTCCTTCTCCAGCTGGAGCAGTAAAACATCCATGCCTTTTGTGTCTGTGAAAGAGGAGGAGGGAGGGAGAGCCCAAGCTCTTTTCCGCACAAGCTTCTCCCACCACCAGGACCGGTTGTCCTCGCTCCTGCCCAGCCCGTGGTGCAGGAAGCCATCCATGCTGTCCGTGTTAGGCCCACCCAAGCCAGCAGAAGACTAAAGCTGAAGGTACAAGTACTTAGCGGAATACAAAGGGTTCCATCTTTCCACAGTCTCTCCCATGCTTATAAGGGGCTATACGCTTCAGGCATTTATGTTAGCGGTACAGCATTGCCTGCAGAGGTGTGGACAACCAGGACTGTCTTCTGCCACACTTACAGGGTGTAAAAAGCCACTTCCAAAGTCATTGGCAGGTACAAGCTCTCTCCCAGCACAGCATCTTTGCACCAAAATAAGCTGCTCCTTACTTCTCTCCAATTGCTTAAGCAATTTGCTGGCCATGGCTGAAATGAAACAGGTACTCGCATCTTCTGCTGGCTTGTGGACCCCACTGTGCCCCGTGGGGTCCTTGTAGCTTGGGTAACTTGGGTAACTTGTAGCTCCAGCAAGAGGCCAGAGAGACAAGAAAACTCTGCCCTGACGGAGAAGCTGCAGAATAAGGGCTCCTATTGTGTGTTGTATGAGCCAGCATTCACAGCAGATGCAATATTTACTTCAAGCATAACAAGTTCACATCTAATGGGAACAGGCCAAGAAACTCTTAATGAAAGCCCATTCTGTCCTTAATCAAGGCCCTGTTCACTTCAGACAAGAGTTGCTTGACTGAAGATCAACTTTCCGAGTAAGACTTGAGGCTCGGCTGCCAGTAGCAGGGTGGGAGCTGCGTCACGCGCCCCAGCCAGCGCTGTAGCACCAACTGATGGTGCCTTCCCACAACTCCCTGGCCAACCTTGCTCCCTGCCAGCGTCTCGGAGCTCAGGTTGGCATGACTCAAAACATGCAATTCCTCGGTTCTTCCAATCTTGTTTTGCAAAGGCCAAGGGCAAACCACGCAGGACCTTTATCAGTTGCCTGCTCCGTAGCTGCTCACCCTAAAATTGTTCCGACCTCTTTGCCTGATACACATCGCTTGGTGCCAGACCCTGTGGCCCCATGTGGTAGATGAGCTGGTGGTGGGAAGGGAGCCCCACGTGGCTGGTCCTCGTTGCCATAGGACATCTTCTGGGATACAGGGAATGCCAAATCCTTCGCTAAATCAAGAAATTCATGTGTTTGTGACCTAGAAATACACTGGAGATAGCCCGCAGCTCTGGCCTCATGGGCATTCAGAATGAATGGCGGAAGGAAACGCTCTCAGCTTTGCTGCTTACAGAGCGCGACTCCCAGCGTGATGCCGTGGCAAAGAGGACTGATGAGAGTCCCACTCCAAGAGAGTGAAAGTACAAATTCAAAGGGAAAAGTTACATCGCTTCTGGATTTGGCAGCAACGAGACAGCTACTGGTGTGCTGTGATCAGGTCTAGCATGCGCTCATCAAAATGCTGGAGACCATTCAGGGAACAGGGTGAGAGCGATGGGAAAATTCAGCTTATAGAAAGAAAGCTCATGCTACAATCAGCTCAGGAAAGAAATGTGAGGGCAACTTGATTGTGGGCTACGAGAACCCACAGAGGCATCCAGCTGGGGAGATGGGAGTCCTCAGCCTCCCAGTGGAAAACAAAAGAAAATCCCTACAATAAAATTCAGGCCAGAAATATAGTGTAAATGTTTAGTAATGGAGTTAATTAGTGATTGCAGCAATTATTTCAAAGGCTGTGATGAAATCCTGATCACTAAACATCTTTTAAAAGTCTTTCTAGATCAGCCCCAGCTTGAGCACCACAAGAGAAGTCCTACTGCCCTTGGGCATCACAAGAGAAGTCCCACTGCCTACAATAAAGGGAAAGGTCTGTCAAGAGGATCATAATAGCACGCTCTAGCCATAAAATACATGAAACAATAACAGTGCAAAAAAAAAAAAAAAACACCCAGTGGAATTCATTCTGTAGGTCAGGAAATCCTCCAACGGATCAGATACAATAGCCACCACTTGCCTCCATAAAATGACTGCTCCTTGCCCCGCTGCCTTTAACGGCTCCGTGTGCATCGGCGAGTCGGAGACCACTTGCAGGCTGAAAGCCACCACGCACTGTCGGGGAGCTTCTCAGCACCGGCACATAAACATCACACTTTGCATCCAGGTTTTGTCCAAATCTATTAAAAGCCAGCATGCTAACTTAAGGCTTGATCTAATCCAAGCTGAAAAGTGAGTTAGATAGCTCTCCTTTAAAGCAAACATGAGAAAAATCGCTGTGATTAGGAATGGAACACACGAATACGCTCGTCATTGAAGTACAAACTAGTTTCTGACAAGTTTTATCCACTTTTGCCGCAGGTTTTCATGACAAAGGAGCTGCAGAGCAGTCATTGCTGAAAACGACCTTCACTCAGCTTTTCAAGTCTGAGCACGTAAAATGTGTTTACTGTGTGCACAGAACTTCTTACTCTGCTACAGACAGGAAATAAATTCATATTGTTACAGCCAAAATATTCGCAGGGTGAAGGGAGAGAGAAACCCAAAGCTGCATATCCATGGCAAGATAAAAAGTTGCCTTCAGTACACCTGACACATCATCAGCCTTCAAACAGGTTTCCCTTCTCTTCCACAGTTCTTGCTTTAATAGTTCTTGCTGGTTCAAATGCAAAATTATTCATTATTTTTTCATCATCATCACTTCTAAAGGGAATTAAAAAAAAAACAAAAACAGAAAACCAACAAATAACTTTGCCATATCTACCAATAAAGCATTTTTAAATTTTTATTAGAAGTTCAGCATATTAAAAGGTTATAGTCAGGGATTCAGCTGACAAGATTAGCAACGCCTTTACTTGTTCCTACATGCTGAAATACACAACAGAAAATCCACAGGCACGTAGATATCAATAACCCACGATTCCTTG